GGCGCGCGCCTACGAATACATTTTTCAAGTGCGGGCGCGCGCCGGGCGCGCCATTTCAAAATTTGCGGGCAGGTGGACCAGTGCCGGGAACCAAGGCAACGAACCCAAGTGAATAAATAGCAACTAAATTAAATGTCAACCCAATGGCGACAACCAAAATGCAACCAAGCCAACCAAAATGCAACCAAATAATTATGGGCAATGGCAACCAAAATGCAACCAGTGGCAACAAAAAATGCACAAACTATAATATGCAACCTTATTATGGAAGCTCCAAAATGCAACCAGTGGCAAACAAAATGCAACCAATGGCAACCAAAATGCAACCAAAGGCAACCAAAATGCAACCAAATGGCAACCAACATGCAACCAAATTGTAACCAACATGCAACCAAATGGCAACCAACTTGCAACCAAATGGCAACCAACATGCAATCAAATTGCAACCAGCATGCAACCAAATGGCAACCAACATGCAACCAATGACAACCAAAATGCGACCAATGACAACCAAAATGCAACCAATGACAACAAAAAATGCAACCAATGACAACCAAAAGGCAACCAATGACAACCAAAATGCAACCAAATGACAACCCAAATGCAACCAAATGACAACCAAACTGCAACCAAAAAACGACTTAACAACGGTAAGGCAAACTATCGAACTCACCAGCTGGCTCCGTGGTAACACGTGGGCGCCCAATCCATTCCACATTGGGACTGGGAAGCTCAACTGCTGGAAGACAGAATCTCGCTCCCGCTTGTCCTTTCCGATCGTTCTTCAAGCGTCCCGTCGCTAGAAGCACAGCAGCAAACGAAGCCACAGTGGGAACCGAGATAGTGTTGCCTGCAATGGCATTCAACTCCAAGTCCTGAGATGGGCAAACGCAGCCGCAAAACTCCTCAAAACTCAAAACCATATCATATCTGCCCATCCTGAATACCATTGCAAGTTGCAACTGCAAAAAAAGAAACTGATCAGCCATTGAACAGGAGAGCTGGCGACGGCATGCGCCCAAAAATAAAAAACAATAAAAGAAATAAATCAAATCAGCCAAAGGAGCTGGAACAGACACGACTTTGCCTTTCACAGTTCCCTCACATACAAGGCTTGCATCAAACCCCTGGCCGTAGAGGAGCTCCTGTCCAAGAATCACCCTGCCCTCTGCAAAGTGCCAAAGACGATGCCTCCGCAGAAGGCACGGCAGCACTCCCCAATAACTCGGGCTCTTCCAGCAGGCGTACTTGACACTGTTGGTCAAATCCCACACCAAACCTCTGGGAACAATAGATTTGTCATCCGCATTCTCGACATTGTCCTCGCATGCGTTGTCCAGCCTCAAACAAAAAGTCGGCGTGCCAATGAATGGAGTACGGATTGGTGATTGTATGAACAACGTGACTTTGACTCTGACTCTGACTCTGTCCAAATGTTGGCCAACCAGTTCCTAGACCTTTCAATCAAGAGACACCCAGGAATGCATGTAAAGAAGGTCTTGCTCGCGGGCAGGAAGTAGTTTACTCCAAGCGTTGCCGTACAGGTTCAAGAGTTCGCGAGGAGGTGGCACCTGCTGCAGTCCATGCTTAGGAAGCGACTCCAACCAACCGACAACTCAGAATTCAGTGATAGTGACTCAGAGTCAAAGTCAAGTCGTGAGTGGTGGTGCTCCAGCCCCAGCCTGTTCCCCAGCTGTGCATAAATGGCAGCTTTGGCTACCTGATGGTCTTTATGGCATTTAGGCCAGCTCGCACCACCTGCCATGCTTTCCACAATTTGGTCTGTTGACTGTTGTCGCCTCGATTGAAGCGTCTTGTGGAAATTCAGCACCCTGGGATCTGTACTGGGAAGCATCAGGCCTGGGCAAGGTGGCAAATAGACAAGATTCCGAGACTCTAAACTCTAGACAGTCTAAGTAGTCTAAACCCAACAAAAAGGAAGAAAAGGTGTTGTTTTCATATTGTGGTCCTGCATTGTTGTGCTTTGCTTGCCTGTAGACCAACCTATATAGCAAAAGTCAAGTGAGATTGAGATCGATTATCGATTCGACAAAACCAGTCGTGGTCCAAGAGTCGCGTAAAGTCTGTCTTTGATGACAATCCGGATATCTCCTGGCAATCAAGGGAGAAGACTCGACTCAACCAGGACTACCGGACTACCTGTGTCCTACAGTAACATATGTCCCGTCAAGTCAATGTGTTTCAATGTCAATATGTCACATGTCCAAGTTCTCTGCCACATCCCACTCCCTCACCCCCTCCTTCAACCAAGAAGTCCATTGGGCGACTACAGTTTCATGGCCGCAGGCGGGATCTGGAAAATCAATTTGCCCTGGATCCAAGGCAATGATGAAAAGCCTTGTGCGGCTCTGCGGAACGCCCCAGCTGGATGAATTGGTGAAGTAAGCCTGCGCGTAGTACGAGAGCTTATGCAAGCAATGCACCACAACCTCTGCCGTCCGTTTCTTGGCGACATTTTCCAGAATGATGTACGCCTCGGCTGTTGCCCAACCCGCGGCCGCTCAGAATTTACTCAAGGCTCACGATAAGGCTTCGGCAGGCCGCTTGCTCTTCACATATTCGAGGGAAGCGTTCAAAGTCTTCGAAGACATACCAGACCTCGTCAATGCTAATTCTTGTTAGCAAGTCAGAATTCCTAAAATTTTCGGTTTAAACAATGACTCTGACTCTGACTCTGACTCAATATTTCAATTTTCCATTTCAGGTTGCAAATTTGATTTCAAAACCTTGATTTGAGACTGTATTCTTTGTGCTTGCATAATCTCACAATCTGGGCCACGTGCTCCTGCGTGATGGCGAGATTCAGCTCTTTCCGGGAATTGTTCATACAGCTCAGGTCCTGGTCAGTCAGGTGAGAGTCAGGTGCATTTGATCTGTTTGTCCGACCCTATATAACTCAAACTAAATCAAATGCAAATGATTTCTGAATCAATCCCACTCCTGGCATTCAAAGCCACCTGTGTAAAAGTCCACTTTGGGAACATACATCTTGTCACCCGTCAGCCAGTCAACTCCCTTTGAGCGATCTCGTGCCTGACAGCAAAATGCTTAGCGGGGCACACAAACAAACACCACACCAAAGCCAAAGCCACAGCTTAGATGGACGGCTCAGGCATAGACTAGAACATCGTCAAAAATGATTGCTGGAGGTGGCTTGCAATTGAGCATCATCATGTTCTTCTGGTGTTCTCCAGCTTTGCCAGGCGCTTCGCTTGCAAAGCAATGTGACATGCTGACCTTGCAGTGCAGTAGCACTACCGAGCTGCTGCTTGGTGGACAGCAAAACCGTGCAGCGCAACCACTCAGCAAACAAACCCGGCCATGACACACTCAGTCGATCCAAAATGCTCCGTAGCCCAAACGCTGGAGAGTCTATGCCCGAACAATCTGATCCGTAGCGCAGCTCAGATCCGGCAGGCCAGTTGGCCTCCAATTCCCCTTGCAGAACTGCAAAAATATTGTTGACCCACTCCTTTTCAGATGGCGATGGCCTCACGTCATCGGCCTGCGACGGTGGTTGGTAACTTCCATGGTAGCGGTTGAGCAGCAGCTAGCGACAGTAACACTATATAATATCAGTATCATATCATATATTATCATATCATCAGAATTGAATTGATACTTGAGTTAGTCATAGTCATGGCTCTGAAAAGTAACGCCGGCCTTATTCAACCACGGACAAGAGGTCTTCTTCCTCAGCCGCAGCCTATGCGGAGCCAGGCTCGGCTGGCCATGGCCTGAGGGAACCAAGTTGGCGCCTCAACTACAGTAGCTACGGCGCTGAGTCCCCCAGCCATCTTCCTGCTTGAGTGGGTCATCGAAAGCAGAGGATTGCCTGGCCTCAGTCCCACTAAGCAAACGAAATCGGCACCTGCAAGAATTGCAGCTCAGCTCACTGAGACATTAGCCAAAGCGGTTGTCCGGACATCTTCTTGGCATGCATCTTCCAATGCCCTTGTTGCCATCTCAAGCTGCAGACTGTGCTCCGAAGAGCTTGCCTGCAACAAATGGCAAACATTGGCATGGAAACAAGGTTCAAAGAACGTGGCTGAACCATGAGGAGAACTCAAGACTGTGCCGCGATCCAAACACCCGTTGAAAACCCCAGATTTTTTTAAGGGAGAGGTGGGCGATTAGCTTTACGATCGTCGACAGAGTCAGTCAGTCGGTCAGTCAAACTGATAGTGAGTGGCCCTGACCTTCGACCCCTTGTCCAGGAGAGGGCAGGCAAATGCCGCCAGGTCAATCGCAGCGCCTGGACCTGTCAGCGTGCCAGGTCAATTGTACGCAAACATACGCATCAGACACGGCAAGCCACAATATGCTGATTGACGGCCCCTAGAAACACAGCCGGAATTCGATATCGCATGAATTCTCAACGAATGGCGATTGATTCACCGAATTCATACTATGCTCATGACTCATGACTGTGTGTCCGCCTGCATGGGGGCTTCGCCCACCATTGCTTCCGCAGCTCGTCTTTTGCACCAGTGTGTGCGGCTCCTCTGTGTTTGCGTGTCTGAGTGATGTGCCTCTCCTCTCTCAGTTTAGTTTGGACTCTGAAGTTGACGGTCTCAGTCATTCTAATTTTATATTAGTTAGTTAGTTGGTTAGTTCTTGTTTCGCATTGTAATTTAATCAACTTCTAGCCACAAGTTTAAATGCTGGCCAGGAACCAATGTCTTCTCAACATATTCAGCAGCTGGAGATGTTTGCGCCAACATATCCAATGGATCAAAGTCATCAGAATCCACGTCCACATCGTTGTTTTTTGTCAAAGGTGCTACTACTGGCTTGGGTTGGTGGTGATGGACAGCCTGCCCAGAAAGCGGCTGCACAAGAAAGGACACATCAATCAGAATCAGAATCAGAATATATCGAATGAAATGAATCTGGTCCGGTCTGGCATCCAGCGGGGTCCAGCCCAGTGTTTCGAATTGACCAAACAAAACAATGACAGCGACAGAGTGGCGCAAGTGCCTCTAAGCGATCCAGCGGGTCTTCGTCATCCATTGGGCCGGGCCACTCCAATTGGTCAGTGACCACCCTCCCTCATCATGGGCCCATTGACCCATGGGTCATGATCCAGTAGCAGCTGATCTGAGCATATCAAAGGACACTGACACTGAGAAAGAACTTCCGTAACAAAAAATGAGATGAGACGAGATGAGATGAGATGATGAACGATTTCAGTGTATTTTTCTTTTCCAGCACTCCTTCTGCAGTGGCCTTGTGGCCATGGTTTTTGCTTTGTAATGCCTCCACTGTCCGGATTGGAGGGCATTGGCATTGCGTAGATGCTTGGCCGGGCTGTAACACATCAACACTGCTGCAACTGTCACTGCAATTGACAGACACTTTGTACCAGAATGACATGTTCTGAAGACCAAGCCAAGCCAGCGTTCAGACTCAGACTGTGAACGTGCGATTGAAACTGGTGCAACGCGTTGATCATTGGGTCAAAAACCTACTGTTTGCCGTCCGTCTGCCTTTCAAGCTTTAGTTTGAACTTCGAACTCTGTGTCTACAAACTGACCTTCAGTTGGGTTGGTGGGATGGTTGGTTGGTTGGTTAGTTGGTCTTGGTCTTGGTCTGAGTCAGTTGTTTGTTGTTGGCAGCTGTCTGTCTGTTCAATGATCAATTCGCTGCAGCTGCAGCTGATGTAAATTTTGTGACCTCATTCACAATGCAGTCGGGCAAATCGCTCAACGAAAGCTCACGCTGCGTCAGCTTGGTCTGGAAGCTCTCAATCTTGTCCAAGCTGGCAGCACTGAGCATTTTGAGTCCTGCGCAATGTCTGTGATATGTTGCGTCTTGCGAATGAAGGGTCCAGAAGGGAGGGTTGATGGGGGGGTGGTCGAACAGCATGATTGGCCGATGGCCACAAAATATCAGCAGCAGTAGCAGCTTATATCTGTGCAGAATTGATCCGATAAACTGACTAGCTGCTAGCTGGTAAAGATGATGATAAACTTCAATTTCAATGCATTTCAAAACTGAGTAAATGGACCAGTGACCACGCGCTAAAATGAGACCGTTTCTGCACACCGCACCCCCAAGAACCTAGAGTTTTTCCACTCCTGATTGGCACGCCAAGATGATCTTCACTGTTTTGAAGGTATTCTCGACATCTTCCTGCATTTTCGGGGAAAAGATTGAGTCGAAGACTTCAGCCGGCTGTTTGGAGGCGTCTGTCCAAGCATTCCGAAGGGCTGCATATGCATCCCCAAGGCTCTTGGTGACAATTTTGTCCATCTCTTGCTGAAGACCCTCACGGCTAGCTGACATCATCTGTTTCAGAGGCCACCCAGGAACTGTCTCCTTTAGCGCCCCAAGCTTTTCAGACACATTCTCCAACAGTTGTTTGCCCTCCTCTGACAGAGATTCCGCCGCCGCCTTCTTGCCAAGATTCTTCAGCTGAGACTGAAAGGTCTGGACCTCTTCAAACTGCTTCCCGACAATCAATGCTTCCACCAAGGAGAGAGCCTCGCCAACTTGGGTCGACTGTGTCAACAACTCGTTTTGTTGATCATCATCTCCTCCACCCGTGCTGAGCTTGGAGATGTGGTCATTCCCACGCGCCAGGATGACAGATACCAGTTTAGAAGCAAAAGAGTTGCACCACTTCTCAAAGACTGACTTGAAGTTGGTGAAATCTTCGCCAAAGTGGGCACCCTTCCCAACATCAGTGGACGTGCCAACCAGGACATCCAGCATCCTGGCAATTTCTGTAAGATCCAAAGTCTTAAGCGCAGACAAGTCAGTGTTTTGGTGAGCCTCCTTCATCAGAAGAGCCTTCACCACAACAGCGCCCAAGTGGAAATCAGAACGAGCCTGGTAGGATAGATTCACCAACGTCTCAGGAAAAGTGCTTTTCTCAGCAAGGCCTACAGTGACGCCATAGAACTTCTGAAGGTCATCTGCCGTGAAGGTGTCCTCAGTGTCCTCTGTACTCTCGGAATCGCTGCCCAAGACGGTGGAAGCGGTCACAAACTCCAGTCAACAGCATGAAAATAGACCGACTATGAGACTATGACTCAGACTCAGACTATGTACTTGTCTGAGGTTGCGGCAATTGTCCATCCATAAGCGCGTCCCGGTCCGTGTCAATCAGTGTCTCATTGACAACGCCCGAAGTGATTGTGATCTCTGCGGACCACTCTCCACTCTTCTGCTCAGGGATGAACACGCAGTCGCACTTCTCTTGAGTTTCGGGGTCTGTCCCCTTGATAATCTTGTGACCATATTTGCTCGGAGATCCAAATGCCTGGAGACTGGGTGGGCACAAGATATGATACAGTGACAGTAACTGTGACTTTGCGTCGAATCATATATAACAAAGTTACAAATTTATATTCAAATTCAAAATTTATATTTAGAGAAACTCTTTGTAGAATGATAGCACTACTTTCAATTATGGTCCATGGCCATGGTCTTAGTCAGCGGCAGGTTTGGCAAACCTTTGGGAAGAAAACCCTGACCCTGCCTCTCTGTACTGACTCACACGCATCATCTTGCCCTTCAGTCTCTGCTTCACCTTTGTAGTATCTTTTTTCTTGACAGCTTTGGCACGCTTCTTGACCTTGGAACTGCCAAACTGTATCTTCTCTTGGGTGTCCTGCTGGTATGTAGCCCGAGCTTCAGCGAACTCCCCATTCCTGAACTCTGTGTTATCTAGCTTTGCAACTGTCTGGGCTCTTGGAACTCCTGGCCACCCGCGTCTGATCGTCTCATGGCAATCCTTGCATATGTTGCCTGATGGTTGGGGTGCCGTTATGTTCATCGCTTTCCTTGGGTGAGTCACGACGCAAACACTCAGGGAAGCTGAGCCTGACTATGACTATTGATTGATTGATTATTGATTCCTGACTCAACAATCAAGCAGCAGCAACGGTTTATCAAATTGGTAAGTCACTTAAGTCAGTTGTTACAGTACAGTACAGTCCAGTAAAGATCATCCAAACATCCACCTGCTATTAGTGAACTGCAGGTTCATTGCAGTAAATGTGCAACCGAGCTACATGCGGGGTGTTAATTGTAGTACTGTGGCGGCCATTCCAGGTAGTCGCTCGTCAGGTATGTGTCTGGGCTGAAAGTACTTCGCCCGCATCCCTTGCACCAAATCTCCAGAAGCGGCTTTGGACGTAGTGGCCGCTTGAGGGTTAACCGAATACCAGCCTCTGTTAGGTGAAAGCCTGGCAGCTTCAACTGCAACTCTTCGGCCGCGTCTACAACCGAAGCTGCCTCCGATTGTTCTACATGCTGGAGTGGATCATCAAGCAGGTCCATCACCCTTCCTGCCCAGAACTGTACAATCAGTCGATTTGCTCAGAATAGTAGTGAAGTTATTATCAAATTATCACAGTGAATGTGAGACTGGACAAGCAACATCTAACATAAGCATGGCAACAGATCAAACAGTTAGGTTGGTTGCAGCTTGTTCATTACTTGCAGTGAAAAGACACAGGTGCCTGCAACACACTCGCAGAACTCCACCAACAAGCGAAAAGGTCACCGTGCAAAATTAACTCTTCTCGATGCTGTGGCAAAGGCAAATGCGGTAAGGCAAGGTTATAAGTTATAAGGTTGTGATGTGGAGTCCGAAAACATTGCCCAGTGATCAGGTTGCCCAGTGTGCTGCCAAATCAGAAAATACTACTACTGCTGCTGCTGCACTGCTACTCACAACACCATGACAAACAATGCCACATTTTCCCCTCCTGGCTGTTCAAAGGCACGCTGCCGCTGGGACAGCTAAAGGCTAAAGGCTAAAGTTTCTTTGAACATTTAGCTGCCTGAAATGCAAATCCAACACCAAAGCTGGAATCTCGCTTGATGCTGGCGTCGGAATCCCAACCCTGCTTTTTGTAGGGTGACGAATTTGAGTTGAAACAATCGCGGAGCCTATTGCTTGCAGCCTTCATGACAATGCCCTGGGGCCCTGTCTTAAATAGAAGTTAGAAGGCCATTATTATTTTATAAATGTGTCCACCGTGGCATGGACGTGGGGGTCCCGAATTGCATTTGTTGGACGTAGGGGGACCTTGATTGCATTTATTCGATGGTACCGCATTAATCGTCTTGGTGACATAATGTGGTGATATGTGGCGACATCAAAAATTGCAAAAACGGTGTTTTTTTCTGATATTTCATCTAAAAACATGTCAAAAAATATTGAATGTCAAAAATTCCCAAAATATCAGAAAAAACAACGTTTTTTTGCCATTTTTGATGTCGCCACATATCGCCACAGCGCCACAACCCGATTTTC